TCCTGAGGCACATGTAAATAGGATATCGACAGCAGCGTACTCTACACTGGTAAAAGTTAAAACATTCAGAAACCTAAGTAAGGAGGCATTTAGGGCGCTTAACACTGCCTACGTGACGCCAGTCTTAGAGTATGCCGCCTCATCATGGAGTACCCACCTGAAGAAACACACAAGGAAACTGGAAAAGGTTCAGAAGTTTGCAACAAGACTCGTCCCAGCGTTACGAAGGATGGGGTATAAAGAGCGCCTGAAGGAACTAAGCCTTACGACACTAGCAAAAAGAAGGAAGAGGGGGATATGACAGGAACGTATAAAATACTTAGGGGGATTGCCAGAGTGGAAATAGACGAAATGTTCACACGGAACAGTAACAGAATAAGGGGGACATGGGTGGAAGCTGGAAACTCAGATGAGTCACAGAGATGTTAGGAAGTATTCTTTTAGCGTGAAAGTAGTGGAAAAATGAAATGCACTTAAGGAGCAGGTTGTGGAAGCAAACTCTATTCATAGTTTTAAAACTAGGTATGATAGGGAAATGGGACCAGAGTCATTGCTGTAAACAACCGATGGCTCGAAAGGCGGGATCCAAGAGTCAATGCTCGATCCTACAGGCACAAATAGGTGAGTATAAATAGGTGAGTACACACACACACCGAACACAAGGTTCTCATGGACACTTACTCCAAGTGTTAACAAGTGGGGAATGACGTTACAGCGTACCATACTAGTCACATAATTAAGGTCGTAACATCAGCGAGGGTCAGAGCAAGCCAAGTACATGTGCCGTGTTCAAATACTACAGACTTGTAACGCAGGTAGCCCGGTAAAGAGGTACAGGCACATTTAGCAGCCTGATGATTCCGCATCACAGCCTGAAGGAACGTCTTCGGTTTCTAATTACATGGATATAAAACCTAACGTTAGAATCTAAACGGATATAAAACATAGCAACATGACTCAAACCAGTCTGGTCGTACGACCCCGGAGCCTGATGATGTAGTGCAGAGTTTGATGATAACATCACAGCCTGATAGTATTAACTGGCATTCAGATAAAACAACCTCGCTGGCTAATTGTACCACATTAGTACCATTAGCCAGCTGTATGTACTACCTCGTAGCCTGATAGTACACTTGTAATGTTGCTTTAGAATACACAAATTACAGTTTAGAATTATTGTGGAAACGGTTCTTTAATAATTAAGTTATGTATTTTCTCCTGCGTTCTGTAATTATAACAAAGGAGTCGGTGAAACTATTGTAGATCCCTCACATATACGTTTGCTAGAACATAATAAGTTGATGTCCTTGCCAAGCTTGAAGCAAAATATAGATAATGACGAATATAATCTTGACCTATAACACACAAGGAAAAAGTATCATCACCAGTACTCTATCAGTTGAATCTGAAGAGAGCAGAGGAGTGTGAATGTGAACTAGCAGATATATTATCTTTTACAATAAAATAGGACAAACAAAACACTTGTATATAGTTACAAAACCAGTAGACAGCTAGATGTTGAGACAGATCGAATACGACTTTGTTACAAGTATCACTGGGAGTTTAGCTTGTCATTACAGGAAATGTAAAGTGTGTAGGCAAAGACATGGTCTAACACTAAGCTCTTACATCTTTGAGTGAAAATTTAGCCTCTTTAGAAGTAGATCAAAACTAATGCTCCATGAAATTGCACATCATTTTATTGTTAATTATAACATTTACGAAAATCATGCACTTTATCCATAAGTCGCTTCTAGTACATTAAGGAGAATATATGTAAGGAAATCATAAGCTGGATCAGTTATTGCTAGCAGGATCTGGAGATCAAAAAGCACTGAAGTATTTGGAGCTGTAAGCTCAGAAATGTAAGCTAGAAGCAGTCACATATACTTAGACTCAAAGAGAAAACTAAACAGAAACAAACTGAAAAGACAAAACAGAAGCAAGAGGGAGGTAGAGTTAGAGTTAGTCAGAATTCAGCTGGATTCATAGACATATATACAACAGGAGGAAAGTAGACAAAAGGGGAAGGAAACTGAGCAGTCAACCATTTAAGAGCAGAGTGCCTTTGCTTAAACTACGTTAAAGGAGCAGAAATTACTAACAGAACATAGGGGAAAAGTGATGTTTAAATGAGGAGAGGTTCCCTGTAGGTACGGTTGCCCCAATTCTCAGAATCGAATCCGGATGTTTTTTCCAACATTATGAGAAGTTTGCAACCGGGTTGAACTGGCCAGATAGTGTGTGGGAATCATGCAAGCGCAACTAATAAGTAAAACTCAGGAGACAATTTCCTCGGTGCCTTTGACGAACAGGTTCGATTACCAGTATGTAAAGAAGTGCATTTTGCAGGGATATCAACTTAGTTATGAGGCTACCAGACAAAATTAAGTCCGCAAAAACACAGAAGTAATCAACCAGTCACTAATTTCATTAGGAAAATGCTATTAGTTTTTGAAAGGTGGCCTATCTCTTCAAATAAAGACTGATTTTGAGACACTTAAAGATTTATTACGAGTGGAAGAGTTACTTTCATGTTTACCTGACTCTGAAGAAATGCACTTAGCTGAGAAAAGGGACTAGTAGAAGTGCATATTAATTAGCAACATTAGTCGATGAGCTCGCGCTTATTTACAAAATGACTTTTAAGTCACTATTTACTTAGATTAAAAAAAGTTAATATCAGCCTAGACCATCTATTAATCTACATTCCACTCACTTGACCTCTCTCTAAACCCGGAGTTATAATGGGATGTCACCCCCTAGGTGACTCAATATATAACTTGCTGTAGGGAAAGGCGGAGCAGTCTTTGTTGAAGTGTTTCTCTCACTAGAAAAGGAGAGAAACATCATTTAGCACCGTCACTTTCTCCAGCACTATCACTTTTTCAAGCATCAACACTTTCTCCAGCACTATCACTTTCCCTAGCTTCATCACTTTCCTTAGCATCATCACTTTCTCCAGCATCAGCATTTTCTCTACCATCATCACACTACCTACCACCATCACTTTCCGTAGCATCATCACTTTTTATAGCACATCGCCTTCTCTATCATCACCTTCACTATCATCACTTTCCCTAGCAACATCACTTCTCTAATAACATCACTTTCTCCAATAACATCAGTTTCTCTAGTATTATCCCTTCCACTAGCACTATCAATTTATCATCACTTTCTCTAGAAACATTACTTTCCCTACCACCTGTTATGACTAGGCTTGAAGCCTCAGCATAACTTTGTAATTTACATACCATCGTATGCCTGGTTAATTATTGTTGCTTATTTTTTTTAAATATGCAGTAAGTAGAGATATGCCAAATTACATCTGGAATACATGCAAATTTAATGTTTCTATTAAAATAATTAGATATTAGCAAATTGACCAGAAGGTGGTAATCTAAGTGCATTAAATGAAGACTGAGAATATTTTCGTTGATAATTATTTATGCTGATTATACTGACATATAAAATGTCAAAATGACATATAAAATGAGAGGGGGGTTAGGGACAGTTCAATTACTGTACGTTCGACCAATAGCTGCTATAAGAACAAAATTTTTGTATGAACAGTTGGCTAATTCAAGCGATCATTTTAAAAACAGATTATATTACAGTTTTTGCTAATTAATCTAGATGTGTTCTGAGAATTGTTGAATATCTATACTGTACTTCAGTAAAGAGAATCAACAATACTTCAAATTAGGCAATTTATAGGTCGCTTTGCAAACTGAAATTATTTAGTATAATATCCTTCCCTTCCCCGTAGGCTATTGATAATTCTATTCAAAATATCTCATATTATCAGAATCAGAAACTTTATTCGTTACAACTTATTGTGTTGCATTAGATATTAATTTGATTTTCCTCCTTAAAATATCTTATTAAGATAATTCTGCTAATATCACTCCATACCTAAGTTTATTTATTTAAAATCATATATATATATATATATATATATATATATATATATATATATATATATATATATATATATATATATATATATATATATGTGTGTGTGTGTATATCACGAAAATAAACATGTGATTAAGAATGTGACAATGTCAGACCACGGAGGAAAATGAAACAGGAATTTCCTTAAGTACTTTCGTATATTAAATACATCTTCAGATAGAAATATATATATATATATATACATATATATATATATATATATATATATATATATATATATATATATATATATATATATATATATATATATATATATAGGGGTGGTAGGAGAGGAGAAGATTAAAGTATTCAGTGAGAATCCACAAGGTCTTCTCTGAACACTATTTATTTTCTTCTTCGAGGATGTGGGTCCCTTTAATTAAACCAGTGGTGGTACCCCTAAATATATAATATATATATATATATATATATATATATATATATATATATATATATATATATATATATATATATATATATATATATATATATACACACAGAAAAGCACACAGAAACTGTATTGGAGGGGATCTAAACATTCCCTCTAATGAGTTATGCGTGGTTTCCTCCGAGTCTATGGGTCCCCCTTCTTCCAGCTAGAGGTGGTACTCCCTTCCATTAATAAAAATATATATATATATATATATATATATATATATATATATATATATATATATATATATATATATATATATATATATATATTTAGGTTAGGTAGTCTTATTGTCGTTCTGCCTAGTTTTACTCAGCGATCCGAGCCTAATCATACTGTCATTCAAGTCTTGCAGTCACATGTCTTGCATGATAAAGGCACAAGTCTTGCACGATGAAGTCACATGTCTTGCACGATGAAGTCACATGTCTTGCACGATGAAATTACATGTCTTGCACGATGAAATTACATGTCTTGCACGTGACTTCATCTGCACATGCAAGACATCCTTAATCCAATTTGTAGCAAAGAAATTGTTAGTCACTGAAATCAAACCATTTAGAGTAACAAGTAATGTCCCCTCCACCAATAATACAAAAATTCAACTTACCATGGTTGAGTGAAGACATGGAGGAGTAAGGGGTGGCACTGTCCACCCCTGCTTGATACGATGACGAAGGCGGCGTCGGAGGCAACAACTGGCTATTGTTGCTTGCAGGTATGCCAGAGGAAATCTCCTCTGTCTTTGAACTTGGCGTCGGGGACGTCCCACGTGTGTAAGAGGTTGGCGTCGGCGTGGCTCTTGGCGTCCTGGCGAGTGGCGTTGGGGGAAAATACGGCTGCCAGGGAGCCGCACGAATTGACGGGGGCGTTCGTGGAGAGCTGAGCGACGAGGGAATTCCTGGAGACGTGAGTGACGAAGGTGTCGGTGATCTGCTTAGGGAAGTGGGTGTCGGGGGCAGGCGTTCAGAGGTAGGAGTGGGCGGGAGGTTGTCGGTTGTGTAAGGGCACTCTGACTCTCCTGACTGGTGATTTGGTGTCGGTGGTGATGGAGTGTTTGTGCGTTTTGATGGACACGTTGTCACTGCTGCCGGGAGATCCGTCTCTTTCCGTGGGAGATTCACAAGCTCCGGTATAGGTTTTGTTTGGTTTGGAAGAATTTCTGGGTGGGAATTTATCTTCGATGATGGAAGATTTTCCTGAATTGATGGAACATTTAGCGGTTCTAAGGAGGAATTAACTTGTCCTAGTGGTTGATTTACCGTCTCTGGTGGGTACGTTACTTCCTCTGGTGAGGCTGTTACCTGTACTGGTTTTTGTATACTTTCTGGTTGGGGATTTATCCTTTCTGACTGTGAATTTACCCTTTCTGATTGTGAATTCACCTGTGATGCTAAGGAATTCGTCTGTGTTGTATTGAACTCTGTTGGAGGCTTTGAGAGCTTTGGCAGTGATGAAGAGTCACTCTTGTGACCTGCTGGTGGTTCTGTTTCTAGTTCTGAGAGGTTACTCAACGCTGATGGGATATGTTGAGCTGTTTGTTGGGCTTGTGTCTCCGTGGGTGCGAGTTTTGTGACCGGCGAAGGCTTTGACAGCAGAGTATGAGCACCCGCTTGAGTCGGCGGCGGTGGCGAAGGACGAACCGGAACTCTAGGTAATGACGCGACTATTTCGGGTCCAGCTTGTGAGTTCTTCGGTGCTGAGGAAGGAGCTCTCAACTCCAGCAAAGAACTTGTCGGATTTGAAGGTAAAATTGCGACGTTTGTAGGTTCGCCTTGGGGTTTTGTCAGTGTTAAAGGACTTCTGTCTGGCACTGATGAAGGACTTGAACGTAAGAATGTGGAAACTGGAGATCCTACTGGTGTTTTCGGGGGAATTTGGTCTTGCGATTGTCTGGATAGTTGGATTATATCTGTCATTTGAGGAATTGTTTTCACCTGTTTGTTGTAATTATTTTTGTTGTTGTTATTGATTTTTCTCGAAACAAGTTCAGGAGTCGAGCCACTGGCTTCTGATAAGGTTGGAAGGGCTTCAGAAGTCATGAAGTTCATCGACGGGCGATGACCCGCAGAGGGCCGATATCCCGCAGAAGGCCTGTACACTGTTGGTGGTGGGCGAGGACCAGGTCTGAAAATCCTGGGCGCAGCGGGAGGGAGAGGACATGGCTTGGGGGGAGGATAAACAGGTAGAGGCAAGGGGACAGGCAGAGCGTTGTTCTGCGCCAGAGCATAGGATTTCCGCCTCCATTTGCTGTCCTCGATTTCATCCAGCTCCTCCTGCGTGCGTACAACAGTGCGACGCATGGCGATTGTTCACCCCTTTTGTACACTTCGTTTCAGGACTATACTAAGATACTGTATATTCTTGCTTAAGGAATAAAATGCTCTTTAATTTCCATGATAATAGCAACGTAAATTTATCAAAGATTGTCACTGAAAAGCAGTTGAGGTATATATATATATAAATCTTTGGTACTGATAATAGGAAAAGATTAAAGTGCCTTTTTTCAGCGAGTTGCGTTATTTAAATATCAATTAAGTAAGTGTTGCCACAAACGCACGAAACGCTCCCAACACACACATCAACTATTCTGAAGGGTGACCAAGTTAGTTTTGTGTGTTTGTGTTTGCTAGCGTGTGCGTATTGGGTGTTGTGTGTTGGTACAGGTGCTGGCGTGTGCACATAGGATGTGTAATTATCCAAGTGTAGTTACAGGATGAGAGCTACGCTCGTGGTGTCTCGTCTTCCCAACACTCTTTGTCATATATGTGCATGGGTGTGTGTGGTGTCATTGTTGAAGTCCAATATGTGATGCTCACCCCCCCCTCCCCCTTCAAAAGAAAACAATGCCGCGTATGCCCAGTATGAAAGATTTATGCTAACAGCGACGAAGCTTATAATGCACAGCTTGTAAGATCTATGCTAACAGCGACGCCTTTTACAAAGGCCCGTCACCGTCAAGGCAGAATCACGTTTATAGAAAGTTTACTACAGCCTCCGGATAACAATACAGTCGTTCGTTATACCGTGTCCGTTATCTGGGGTCTCAAACGATGAAATGAAAACGTTCAACCTGTTCTCTACATGCACGTGTTTATCACAGTTGTTTCACCTCTCGTTCTTCACGCCCTACATTGTATGACACTATTGCCCTGAACGCACCTGAAAGTCTGAAGACTGAACGCACACCAAACCTAAAGAAAGAGGACGAATGGGAAGAAGAACTAGGAAAACAAAATTGATTTTGTTCGATATTATAATTTTGTTGTTTACGCGCAGGCAATAGCTGGGCGAGGCTACAGATGGCCGCCCTGATGCTGGCACACCTTCTGCTCTGTCAGCCTTACACCCTCTGTTCTTGTCTGCCTCTATACCCTCTGCTCTTGTCTGCCTCTACACCCTCTGCTCTTGTCTGCCTCCACACCCTCTGCTCTGTCTTCCCCTGCACCCTCTTTGTCTTCCTCTACACCCCTATGCTCTGTCTTTCCCTACACCCTAAGGAAAAGGGGGTCGCTAAACCCCGAAATCACCTAAAGGTAACCCTCTATCCACTGCTCTATCTTCCCTTACACCCTCTACCCACTGCCCTATCTTTCCCTACACCCCACACCCACTGCAAGGAAACTCGACTTCATATCAACACTCAACAGACGATCAACATTTCATCAGCACCCCACTTCATCAACACTCATTACACCAACACCGATTGCACCAATGCCTACTTCAACACCCAATACACCCAGTACACTTCTCCCCATAACCTGCTTCTACACCATCGTTTGAGGGGCAATTCTGTTCGCAGCTCACTATGAGCCCGTCGTGACAAGCACATCAGTGTAACATCATCTTGGTATGCCAGTGGTAATAAAGAACCCGAATCTGTACCTTAAAAGCGTCAGGATGAGGAGCAGTGTTGCTTCCTCTTGCTCCTTGCAGTCAACTGAGATGCCTAGTCTGGCGAGCGTGTGTAATCACCCTGAGGTAATGTTTTTTTTGTTTGGCATTATTTATACATTATCTTTCTCTTGATTAGACCATGGTTATTCTGACTGCACAATATCCTGGAGAGGCTCTTGTTATCATAATCACGATAACATGATTATGATAAATATATCAAGATGACTTGATATATTTTGAGTTGGACGTTTTTTTGTTTGTTTATATTCTCGAGATCTGTGCAAAGCACTGTTTTGTGTGTTGAACGGAAGCCCATTGACACCCAGGTTTATGTAACATAAAGCTCACGTTATTACAAGCACGGCACTTAGAATTTCAGCTTCCAAAGGGGGATCTCGGAACAGCGCGAAATATTCAGACCCTGTTAAAAAACATTTTCCCCCTACTGTATGGCAGCTACGTGCTTGAGTCATGCACACAGAAAATGGGGGCACAAGTAGCTACTCAAATTCAACCACAATATATGTAATGCAATTAGGATGGGAGAGTGGCAGAATCATATGCATTGAAGAAAAAGTCTCACGCTGTGTGGATATCAGGATATCTCGCGTAATACGTAATTTTTTTTTTACTAAATCAACTAATCTGTTAACACTATGAATAAAGAATAAGCCATTTTAATACTATTGTTTTGTACACATCGGCCTTGATAGATTAGGTGAATTGATTGCTTTCGTACATTTCTGGTTACGTAAAACAGTTGCATTATTTTACGGAGTGGCAAATAGAGACCCCGAGCTGTGTGACGACAAGGGGGTTATGAGGACGGAATGAAGGAATGGTACCCACCCACTTGGCCCCTCGGGGATCGAACGCCGACCTTGCGCAAATATGGGAAACCATTGCTATCCATGCACGTTTAAGTGGATGGTCTCAAGTGCAGGTAACATAGTTCACAATCGGAGAGATAACAATGGATTTAAGGAAGTACACCAACTAACTATAGATAAACCCATAAGGGGAACGTATAACCTTGCGATGATTTCGGTGCTCAACGTCACGGCGGCCCGGTCCCCGACCAGTCCGCGACGACCCGGCCCGTCTCCGCGTCAACCAAATTATCATAGTTGAAAGCGCATGCAGTAACCATCAATTACCACAAACTGTACAACTCCAAACACTGAGACACTAACACCATAATCACAACCCCAGCTAACACCTATTTCCACCAATACCCCCACCTACATACACAAAGACGGCTGTTCGGTGACTGACCTTACAAGAATGTCAAAACTTGACTTAATAATCTGCCGTGCGTGCCTAGCTCACCCCAATGTTTCCTTCCCTCGTGGTTAATGTGCAGATTACAATATATGTGAGAATTACAGTGTTCATTTAACGTTCCTCGCGGGGATAAAAAAAAACAACACGCCTGTGTATGAATGGGGTAATGATAGTCGAAATCAAGAGCAGAGAAAGATATAGACAGCAAGACACTACGGCAGAGAAAGATATAGAGGCAGACAAACATATAGCGGCAGAGAAAGATAACGACACAAACATATTGACACACAAAGATAACGAGACAGAAAGATATAGAGAGAACGATATGGAGGCAGAAAGATGTGGAGACTGAAGGATATAGACAGAAATATAATGAGATAGAAAGATATAGGCATAGAAAGATATGGATAAATAGAAAGATATAGAGGCAGAAAATTATGAAGACATGGAGATAAAGAGGCAGAGAAATATTTAAGAGGCAGAGAAAGATTTAGAAGCAGAAAAGATATACAGTAGATTTAGAAGAAAATATAGAGAGAAAGGCATAGACAGAAAGATAGAGAAACAGAAAGATAGAGAAACAGAAAGATATTCTATCTGTATCTGTATATCTTTCTCTGTAGACAGAAAGATATAGACAAAAATATATGGAGACAGAAAGATATAGGCATAGAAAGAAATAAACAAAGATACAGAGATAAAGACATAGAGAAAGAATACACAGATAAAGAAAAGATGTATCAAAGAAAGATATAAACAGAATATGATATAGAAACCGAGTAAAATATTAACAGAAAAATATAGTCAGAGAAAGATAACGAGACAGAATGATATAGACATAGAATGATACTGAGACAGAAAGATATTGAGAAGGAAACTTATAATGGCAAAGAAAAATAAAGAGGCAGAGAAAGATTTAGGGGCATAAAATACATAGATAAAGATATAGAGACAGAAAGAAACAAGAGATATAGATATAGAGGCAGAGAAAGATAGAGAGAGAGAGAGAGAGAGAGAGAGAGAGAGAGAGAGAGAGAGAGAGAGAGAGAGAGAGAGAGAGAGAGAGAGAGAGAGAGAGAGAAAGAGAGAGAGAGGAAGATATAGAGACAGAGTAAGACATATAGAGACAAATAAAGAGTCGTAGAAAGATATACATAAAGATATAGACAGAAAGATATAAAGACAGAAAGATATAAAGACAGAAAGATATAGAGACAGGGAAAGATACAGAGTACTATATAAAAACAGTAAGATATAGAAACAGAAAATACTGCGACAGAAAAAGATATAAAGAAAGACATGGTGGCTGAGACAAATATAGACAAAAAGACATATATAATAGAAACAAATAGAAACAGCATAACATATAGACAAAGAAAGATATAGAGACAGAAAGGTATAGACAGTGAAAGATATTGGGAGAGTAAGATATTAAGATAGAGTAAAGATACAAAAAGAAAGATATAGACAGAGATATAGATAGAGATCAAAATATATAGACAAATCGAAACATATAAACACAAAGATATATACAGAGATCGAAATATATACACAGAAATATATAGACAGAAAACGGTATAGACAGAAAGATATAGGAAAAGTACCAGTTAATGATACAGAGGAAAGATATAGAAACAGAGTAAGATATAGACACAGAAAAATAAACACAGAAATATAATGAGACTGCAAAGATGTAGCGTAACAAAGATACTGAAAAAGAGAAAGATACAGACAGTAAAAGATATAGGAACCAAAAAAAATAATAATGAAACAAAAAGG